TTTTGATCCAAGATGACTTACTAATAATGATCCTACACAATTCATCTCATTATCTTAAAATCATAATCGAGTCCTTAACATCTGACAAGGGAATGAATACAAATTTGTTTTTGAACCATAATAATTAGTTTCCATCAGATTATTCATCAGGGATGCTGTGGCAATCAAATCAAATAGTACTATCCTCAGAGGAATTAATTTTGTTTTTCTTATTTTTTAATAAAAGCAAATAATAACTTTGTCCACATTTTAAAGCCTTCACTCACTGATTTAATGTACGCAAAGGGGGATATTCAACTAGAAACCGGAAACACTTAAGAAAGTCAGGCTTATTTTCAAACTATGCTCACACACACACACACACACACACAAAAAAAAAAAAAAAAAGTTTGACTCCTTGACTAACAAGGAAATTGTCTACTTGTACAATTCAAAATTAATGTTTATTATGCAAGCTCTACCTTTAGTAACTATAGAAAAGATTCTGAAGTTGAGGAAAATTACCTGAACATTCTACATATTTTTTAAAACACTAAAGTCAAATCTGTAGATTAAAAAATCTGCAAACAAAATTAAACAAATCCTTATTTTTGTCACAATTGGAATTTATGTCAAAAACAGGACCTATGGTATTTCAGAAAAATAAGCTGGACATTTGGGTAAAAGACTTCTTAAGCCCTCAACATCAGTAGGGTTCAGAGTGGTTAAGAGCTCTGTCTCTCCTCAATGAACCTCACTCTACCTACTAGCCAAGCCACCTTGGGTGAGATACTTAATTTCTCAAAACCAGAGTTTCATTGACAACACCATCAACCTCCTGCAGTTGTGGGAAGAATGAAGGAAATTACTGACAAGTGCTTAGTGGGTAGCTGATATCCAGGAAGCCCTTAATAAAGTGCAGTGTATTGCTGCTCCTGCCCCATACCACATTCACTTACTGTTTGTAGATAATTCTGAAATCTTCTGCCATGTCCAGAAGCCAAATAGTTTGTCCTCTGAACTTCAGAATTTCAACATTTTATTATTATTATTATTATCATCATCATCATCATTAGGGATTGAACCCAGGGGTGCTTCACCATTGAACCAGGACCCCATCCCTTCGTTTTTTTGTATTTTATTTAGAGACAGGGTCTCACTGGTTGCTTAGGCCCTTGCTAAATTGCTAAGCCTGGCTTTGAACTTGCAATCCTTCTGCCTCAGGCTACTAAAATGCTGAGATTACAGGCATGGGCCACCACGCCCAGCTAGAAGTCCCACATTTTAGATCTGCAGTGGTATGTAGACGGTCTCTCCTCACCTGAGGAATTTATTCTTTTTTTTTCATTTACTCATCTGCTATGAAACTCAGGGCGTGTTTTAAAATCTAATCTTCTAAGTAACTGAAAGATACATTGTTTTGTTGTCTCAATCAAACAGTATTAATTTTGCTATTTTTTGAAGGTTTTAATTTTTCCCTTGAAAAATTTTTATTATATATCATAAAAAATCCTTAGATAAATAAATATTTGTTGTGATAATATTTTGTTAGGAAACTTTAGTACTCAGAAGCCTGTATATCCTCTATACTGCTCTTTCTGCTTTTAACTCTGCTCTATGAGCCCTGGCCTCGGAATGCCACCATTATTATCATACCTTAGATAAAGAGTACTGCTTGTTTTACTGTGTACATGCTTTGTTTTTTTTTTCAAGCCATCTGACACCATTTCAAACTGACATCTCATCAAATTGATATCTAGTATCAGAATTTAAATGTCTATGTGGACTCATGTCTTGAAAAGCCTGGATAATGATGATATACATCCTGAATAGCCCAGAACATTAAGGAGTTTTGATTGTCTTCCTAGCATTAATAAAAGCACCCTCTTTAGCTTTCAGAACTACCCTAGATTAAAAGGTAAATTATATGATTACCCAATGTAAAGACCATGGTAGGTCTGAAATCTTTGGCCTTAATGTCCTGTATTTTAAGGTGGTCTTTATTATTTGTAAGCCTAGACTATTAGTCAATCATGCATGTGATTCAGCCAGTGTTCAATTGACACAACCTGGTATTATAATAGAAAGCTACACACACATGCTTAAATCATAGAGTTTACAATTTATTACAGGAGACTAATGAATGAAGTAATTATACACCAAAAAGGTCAGAACTCCTCAGGAGAGGTACAAGATGCTATGATAGGTTATAAAATATCACTCACAGGAGGTAGAGTATGGCAATAGAAATACTCCTGAATCATTTGTGACCCTAGAAGAATGTCTCATTATTTTAACACAGCATTCAAAATGTCACTGTGTTTTCTTTTTTTATTCGCCCTAGAAAGGAGACATTTTAGTACAAAAAGGCCCTTTGAAGACAGACACTAAGTAAGACCTATGAGTATGTAAAGGGCAAGGAACAGGAAGTTAACCTTGGTTTCTGACTTACATGGCAAAAAGATGATGTAAGCAATAAAGAGTGAGGGAGAGGAATTCAGTTCCTAGGCTGACATGATGGAGAGTTGGGCCTACTTTTTCTTCTAGTAGGTGCAGGGTCTCTGGTCTAATGCCTAGGTCCTTGATCCACTTTCAGTTCTATGCAGGATGAGAGATGGGGYCTAGCTTCTTTTTATTACATATGGATTTCCAGTTTTTCCAACAATACTCATTGAAGAGGCTATATTTTCTCCAATGTATGTTTATGGTGCCTTTGTTTAGTATTTATGTGAGTTTTTCTCTGTGTCTTCTATTCTGTACCACATCTTCATGTCTGTTTGGGGGCCAGTTCCATGCTGTGTTTGTTACCATAGCACTGTAGTATATCTTAAGGTCTGGTATTGTGATGCCTCCTACTTTACTTTTCTTGTGAGTATTGCTTTGGCTGTTCTGGGCCTCTTATTTTTCCAAATAAATTTCATGAGTGCTTTTTTCTGTTTCTATGAAGAACATCATCAGAACCTTAATAGGAATTGCATTGAATCTGTATAGTGGTTTTGGTCGTATGGCCATTTGACAATATTAATTCTGCCTAGCCAAGAAAATGGGAGATCTTTCCATCTTCTAAGGTCTTTTTCAATTTCTTTCTTTAGTGTTCTCTAGTTTTCATCRTAGAGGTCTTTCATCTCTTTTGTWAGGTTGATTCCCAAATATTTTATTTTCTCTGAGGCTATTGCAGAGAGAAAACAGTATTTGATATTGGTAAACTCCTGAGAGTGAAAACTGTATCAAGTGTTCTGGTTTTCTTTTTCCCTCCTGAAATCTTCTTGAAATACCTTTTGAATACAAGATAAAATGTTCAGAGCATCTTAACTTGTGATAACAGAGAAAATGAAGTCTAAAGAAAGAAGGCATGAATTCAAATCAGAGCAAGGAGCAAGCCAGAAGGCAGTCTTAGGCCTTGCAGGCTTCTCACGGTCACTGTCTCCTTTCTGATGTCTTTGATGTCAGCAGCCCAATTGTGACTGGCACCTTTGGGAAGATAAATGAGTGTGGAGGTTCTGGAAGGGACTCCACAGACTTCAGAAAGATCTATGAAGGACCAGAGGGCCCGGACAGGAGAAAGAGAAAGCTTGCAAACAAGATTTCCGGTTATTGACAAAACACCAGGTGTGCAAATTCATTTCCGAGATCCTGCCTGATTAACTGGTCTGCTTTCCATTTAACTGTTGCCTGAGCACATTTCCAATACAAATAGACTCTTCCAAAGATGGAAAATTAAACAACTACTTAAGTGTCTAGAGTCAAAAAAAAAAAAAAAAATATATATATATATATATATATATATATATATATATATATATATATATATATTTGTTCACGGTGCCTGCATACAAAGTGTGATGTGGTGCTACATCTTCACATGAAGACTCTGTACTAAGTCAGGTAAATTATAGATAAATTTCAAGTGATGGTGGTCAAATATTTTATCCAGCTAAATTTCTGTTAAATAACATATAATTGTGCCTAAAAACTCAGAGATATTTTTTACAAAATGAGAGAAGACAGTGGCGGTTACATGTGCTGATCTTTTACTCAAAGCATGTATTTCATATGTGTAATTAATGCAAATTGGTGTAACACAGCTCTGACTTCAGAGTCAGAGATTTAGGTTTAAATCCTGGCAGTACCATTTGTTAATCTGGCAAATCTATGAGCCACAGTTTCTTTGTAAAATGGGAAAACTATAATGAAACATGGAGTCCTTTCTGAGGCTTAAGGATTTAATAAGATGATGTAGTAAAGTACCTAGTGGTGCCTGGCACATACTAAGTCTCAGTAAATCTGTGGCTGATTTGATGATTAGGTTCACATTGCTTATAAATATACCTGGGTGATAATTACTCTACTAATCATGGTTTTCTCAAGTTAATACTGGTCTATCTATTTCTTCTCTGATCATTTATTACAGATTATTTTAGAGATCAAGTGGGATACTACATATGAAATTATCATTAAAACTACTAATTTCTTTACAAAGGTGAAGCTTATCCATTTCTCCCTATCACCCCTGTGGGTTTATGTCTTCTTGTGTTGCTCATGTGTCTTCTTATCACAAAGGCCCCAAGTGCAGGAAACACTGTTCTGGCTGCTTCTTTTTGCAGTACATAAGTTAAGAGAGGGACTTAATATACAGGGCATAATACAGGGGGCATGACAAATTTTGTCCCCAAAGAATTTTCTCTCTTCCCATCCTATTTCTTTCCTCCACTTCTATTTAAATTAATTCATTAGGTATTCAACTTCCTACATGTCACCTTTTCTCCTCTCCATTAGGCTTAGTTATAACAAAGTACCAGTAATCCTTGATTCTCACCTTGTAATTTACTGTGTTCTTAAACAAATTAAGCTCTATATGCTCAGCTTTTTTTTTTTAAATTCTGAAAAATGGGGACAATTAACCATCATCAGTGGACTGTTGTATGAATTAAATGAACACTGCAGGATTTGTTGAAATGTATCAGGTTATAGATTCTCTGCTGTGCATTTAGTTCCAGGCTGTCTCCTGGGATTTGACTGACCTGTGAATAATGCGCTGACTCTGCAGGTAGTCCAGGGCCATGGCCAGCTCACAGATGAAGAGCTTCACTGTGTCTTCCTGGAAGCGAACGTTCTGCTGCAGGTGGTAACGCAGGTCCCCACCAAGTAAGAGGTCCACCACCATGAACATGTCCTCTTCATCTTGGAAAGAATACCTGAAATGGCATTAGAAAAGGAAGCATCAAATATCTTTACACACTGAGGAGTTCCAGAGGCAAAGGAGACCTTAGAGATCAGAGCAGAATGTTCTTGAGCTGAGAGCTCAGACTTTGGGAGTAAATGGTCTATCACAAGCTCCATGACATTGGGTTCCAGTTTCTTCCTGAGAAAATGAAAATAAGAATGTCCACCATATTTGATCATAGTGAAGAACAAACAGGGTAAGTATAATATTATTATCAGGCTCAGCATATAGTAAGCACTCATTAACCGGTTTACATCACTATAAAACCCAGGAAATAAGGAGAGCCCCCTTAATCTACATATTTTTCATATCCTAACCATACTGTCACAGGAGGTCCACATAATATGAGTTAAAAGGCCTCCTTAAGCCATTCTTGTGCCCATTTTCCCATAATAACAACTTTGCTGCCCACCAATATGATAACAAACCATGTCCATATTAATAATAAGAAAAAGATTGTTGTAAAAAAGGAGCAATAAAAGTATGRGGAACAGTACAAGAAAATAATTTAGTCTTTGGGATGGGGATTTAAGGCAAGTTTCTCACCAAAGATAAAACCTGAGCTAAATTTTGAGAGATAGTGATTAATAAAACTGACCAAAAAAAAAAAAAAGAAAAATCCAGGTAACATCTCCTGATGTTTTGCTGAGTGTCTGTGATGGAGCTGGCTCTGAAGCACTCTGCAAGCATTTCCTTAGCTGGACCCCACATCACTGTCATGCTCTCACTCTCATACAAGGTGATCATACAAGGTGCAGTGAAGTCTAAGTGCCTCACATAAGGTCGGAAACCAAACAAGTGGTAGAGCCAGAGGGGTTTCCAGGTGCAAAAGTGAATTTTGAAACAGGGAAATAGCATGTATTCAAGCACAMATGGGGGAGGGAACCTCAGTGGGTGGGGAAAAGAAAACCATTTGAATTTGTTCAAACAACAGGTATCGATCAAGAAGCATGAGTCTGGCAGAGAAGATAGCCCTGTGACAGGAGCACATAAATGAGTCTGTAGGTTCTGGGGAGTCACTGCAGGATTTTAAGCAGGATGTATGTCCAAACATGAGCTTCCCACCTGAAGAAGCGTGAGGCAGAGGGCCTACAAGAGGAAATGAGACATGCAGAGAGGAGAACAGACTCTGCTTTGTGCAAAGAGCCTCCTGTAAAAACCCATTCCTCTGTGATGATTTGCTCTGTTTTGCTCAAAGCACAGACATGATTTCTAGTCACCATGAAATTCTCTCTATCAGCACTGTTTTGACATTTTTGTTTTCACATAATGTCACTTCATCATATTTTAAAATTTTATTTGAATTAAAGAATTAAGTGCCTGCAAGCAGTACACAGGGATGCACATCAATTCCCAGTGATGAATTCTTTGCTTAGGAAATAGCTAGAATATCATTGATGGGACATCCKTACTTAGTACATTTTTCTACTTTATGATTCTCATTGTGCTGAAGAAGGAGGGGATTACTAACAAACAGCAGCAACAACAAAAAAGCAGCAAGGAATTCAGTGGAGCATTAACATAAGAAGGGCACATTCTATTGAAGACTAATAGTCCCTATGCTTCCTTGTTCAAAACAAAACAAAATTTTGTTTACCTCTGAAAACTGATTCACACAGATGTCAGAAATTATGCTTTGGGGGAACTTAGAAACACAGAAAGTACTTTGTAAAACTTTGAAATATGCATGCTTGGGATCATCTTTTAGAAAAATGTATCTTTCATTTCCATGTAATTACTGGCTAGGCATCTTTACTAATGGGAAAGTTGCTGGGTCTAGGCAACTTGGTTTGCAATCCTTTCAACTGCACCAATATGAATTATGCTCATTGTGTTCTACAGGTCTTCCAGTAAGTAACATTGGGCTGACAAATACATAATCACATCCAGGACATTAGGCTTCTTTCAGCTATAGCACCAGGAAGCACGCTTGCTCATGAGATGTGAGCAGTCATTGGGGTGGGTGGCAGATGAGGTAGAATGGTGCAGTAGGTCAGGGCTGGTTACCAAAAGGAGGAAAAAGAGAGAGCTAGCCCCAGCATAAGTAGCTGTCAGTGAAACAACCAACCCAGACTGGGTTAGCTCACAGAGAAAGTCTGATTTGCTCCCTTCTCCCTCCTRCTATTAATTGTCTCAAGTCCCCAGGTATGGGTCAGCAACCTGGTGACAGATCAGAGGATTTCTCTCCTTTCATTCCACTAGACTCTACAGGGGAATAGTGGGAGTATTAAATTCAGCCTGAATGAGCAAACATTTTTACTGAGACTTTGCTTAAGCAATTTTTTTTTAAATTTGAAGAATAAACTGATAGAGGAGCTACTTGTGACAAGTTAATAACAGTGTCCCATCATGTAGGAGATTATTAATCAAAGAAAGAAGARGCCAAGGCAAGAGGCAACATGCTTCCCTTGGGGCCAGTATAAATATAAACTTATTTAGCCATGGAAGCAAGTTTGGCTGCTAAAAATCTCCATTTTTTTTTAAGCACACCAGACCTGAATCCCTCCATCTCAGATACTTAGTTCTCAGAAGAAGAAGATAAATATTTTATTTTCCAAAACTGCACCCAACAAAAAATAGGTGTGGTAACAAAATTTGGTGATACCTAGAATATTCAGATTCATGTCATAATCTGATTTTAGATAAAAGAGTAAGAGCTTCTTTTTACCTCATTAATTTATCACCTAGATTTAGTTGTCATATTTATGTAACTTTTTTTGGTTTTTTAGTATGCTATATCATGGTTTATCTATTTCTTAGTTGACAGCTCCAAAATTAACAACTCTGGTCCCATTGCACCTGAAATTTATTGCAAAGTATATTAGTAAAAAAAGAGAAAATGAACAAAAGACCACCAGCCTACTTCATACTCTTTTTTTTTACCATGTCTGATCCAGACCACTGCAAAAGCATAAAGATTGTGCTTGCTTACTCCCGACCTCAGCCTCTCCTTTCTCTATATATACATATACATCTTGGGCCTCTCTAATCCATTCTCCACACTGCAGCCACACTTCTTAATTGTGAGTTTTATCATACTACCCATCCTCCAAAAACTCTCCAATTTTTCCAAAGATGACAGGGACCTATTCTATCTGGTCCTATTTATCTTTACAGCTTTAAACTRAAGACTTTCCTTTCATTTCAACTGGCAGTCCATGCCACCTTCAGCCTTGGAAGCTCATGATGTGCTGTGCCCCAAGCCTGCACTCACAACGCTGTCCATGGCCTGGTATTGTCCACTTGATTAAATGTTAGCTACTATTACAATTGTCCACTCATCTTCTCTAACACTCATATTAAGTTGAATATATCTGTTATTACCAACTACATACATCTTGTTCACAGAACTGATCATAATTTGGAAATATCTTCCCGTATGCCTTCAGACCAACTCCTCTTCCAAGGCGATTAGGGTACACATCTGSTTTTCCTGACACTGACAGCTCAGACCCTGCAGACTGCCTGAAATGTAGACTCTACAAAATGGGGGTTGGAGGGAAGGGATAATAAACTGACCAATGAACTAAAGAAAGGAAGAAGAGAAGCAAGCTTTGGGTGAGGCTGAGTTCTTTAGGTTCTACTTTTAGATATCAAATGGTTCTCAAATAAGTCCAAAGAGTCACTCATGTGCTTCAAGCTGTCTTATGGAAACCAGCTCAAGATAAATCTTACTCTGAGAATGGGAAGATATCTACAATATTCTCCAATGCTGGTTTTTTCAAGTTTGGTTCACTGTGACAAGCATATTTTTTWAAAAGACAGAAAACAGACTGAAYAACAGGATAATGCTATTAACATAAGAGTAAATATTATTTATGAAATTTTGTTTTTGTGAATACAGGGTGTCTCTGTGAGAATATCTAATGAATTGTGATGAAAGTGTACATTCTTTTGCTATGGACTGCAATTAAAAAGCTTGAAAAACATGACATTAGAAGGATCTACTTCATATTGTAACTGTTCCCCCAATCCCTACTCAAACTGTACCCGATCAAAAGTCACTTCTGATATTCCCATCTAGCAAAGCAAAAGAAAATGCATGATTAACTCTAAAAGCTCTGAAGTTTTGTGAAATGTGACTTAATTGATTCATCAAGGATATAACCAATTAAAAATATGCCTAAGGAAAATAGGAAGGCTAAACACAGATCTCATATCACACATGTGAATTTGGAGCAAATCTCTTAAAGGAAACTGAAARTCAAGAGAGGATATCTGTACATTGGGAATAATTTTATGCACCATGTACAAAATGTAGATATAATGTTTGTAGAGTGATTAGCACATGGTGTGGCACATAGCACAGKGTTAAAGAACCTGGCCCTGGAGCATGATTGCCTGTGTTCAAATCCCAGCTCAGTCCCTAACCTCTTTATTACTGAAGCAAATTCCATAAGCCCTTAGTGTCTTCATATATGATGGCACACACTTCATAGGGTTGTTGGGAAATGAAGTCAGTTACAATTTATAAAGGGCTTTAAAATAGTGTCTGTAAGGTAGGAAGTAATGATTAAATGTTAKCTACTATTACAATTACCTTTCTTATGACACCTTCAAATATGACAGGACTATGGTATTAACCCAATCAATTTATTTTATAAAGCTGTCCCTATTACTTTATATGAGGTAATTAAATGAAGATATTTTTGTCAAAGGCATAATTAACATGATTCCCACTAATTTAGCTCTTACTATGCATCAGATACCATACTAGGTACTTCATGTGCATTATTACGTTTAATTACTTCCAAAAAACCTACAAGGGAAGTAGTATTTACCCCGATTATGTTAATAATAAGAATCCTTTAAAAAATATTAGCAAGCTAACTCCATCAACATATAAAAAAGATTACATACCATGACYGAGGAGGATTCATATTAGAAAACCTAGTAATGGTATATAACTTTCTAATAAAGGACAAAACATACAACCATCTCAATAAACACAGAAAAAGCATTTGACAAAGG